TTGTGAATAAAAAACAAATCTTTTAATCGGAATTATGTTGGTGGTAAAGTTTCCGTTAGGTAGGTATTTAAATTAGAAATATCATGTTGACAAATCACAAAAAAAAAAATAGTAAAGTAATGAAATTAATTAACATTGGTGGCGATTCTAGTATGATTCTCTAAACTTAATATCAGTCTCTCCTTTTCATTCCATTTAGTTTAGGTTTAGAGAACCATGCCAGAATCGACACCACAGTGTTCTTTTTCTTGTGGACGTTGTTCTTTTCTTTGTAGTCTTGTTTAGGAAGGTGTATTACATTTTTAAATAACTTCTCTTTCTTCAACCTTTGTCTACCCACTGCTGGGCATAGGTCTCCTCCATGATTCGCCAATCGGATCCAGTTTCTTCCTGCTGCTCTGGTGATGTCATCGGACCATCTGGCGGGCTGTCTACCAACGTTTCTGCGTCCTGTTCTAGGTCGCCACTCCACAATAGCTCGACTCCACCTGTCAACTGTTCTGCGAGGGACTTGATCTACCCATCTCCTCTTTCCTGCGAGTCCGCAAGCGACAGATTTTAAATTACAATTTGCAAACGCCAAAAAAATCTTTAACTCCAATGTCTTTCGAGATGACATTACTTCTAATCGTTATTAGAACTTTTGATCCAATATCTTGGGTAGATAAGATTATTTTTTCTTTCGAAAAGGGATCGTGACTAACTTTTTTTCTTTGTCTATCAGGTAAATTATGAAAAAGTACTGGACACATATTTTTTTTATTTTCTCATTTAGTAACATTACAAAGATAGTTAGTTATATTGTTTTGGTATGACGCAAGACGTCACGTTTTGGTACAATTTTTACTTAGATGTGACTCCGAAACTTTGACGTGCTTGATCTATGCCATTTTTTGGTTGATTGACAAAAGAAAAATAAGTGTCCATTTTTTTTAATAATCTAACTGACAGACCAAATAGAATTCATTTACGTCACGTCATGACAGTATAATTTTGAATTCTTATTTAACTTAATACTCTTTAACGAGATTTTTGTTTTCTAAGATATTTTAAACAAATAGGATAGATTATTACTTTGTTATTTATCAGCTCTCCATAATCTTCGAGATAAAACACTTTCAGTGCGCGAAAACCTATTTTGTTCAGTACAAAGTGGTTAAATCCGGTTTAATCCATTCAATTTATGTATGAAACTGCGTGTTTCCCCTTTTCTAATACGCTGCGATTGCCCTATTGCGCTTGCTGCGATTTCCTTAATCATGTCCAAGGTTTCTGTTGCACTTCTAGATAATATAATCATTGCCCGACCATGGTTATATAAACGTGGGCTGGTAGAATTGCTGCCTTTAATCTCGAGTTGACTATTAGTAGTGTAGCTTGCTTGGCCTGATTTCATTCATGATATCGGATACCTATTCAATGTATTTTTCCTTATATTTAGTCAGTTATCTATGCGAACAAAGTTCGACTTATGCTATGACATGAGTCATCATATCATACGATGTATTGATCCTTGATTCTTGATATATATATATATATATTTCTATGGGTATATAACCAGCTTTCGCCGAGTAATTATTGGCGGCTTCCCATAAGAAATCAGCATTTAATTCACACCCTAGATTTTATTGCGATAAAAAGTTCTTCTTTAACCCATAATAAAATGCATAAAAATCGTTTCAGCATTTTGGCTGTGAAAGCGTAAAAACAGACAGATCAACATTCGAATTGTGATATCAGTACCTATCGGTATTACTCAAATCATCTTCGTTTGAAATGGAAATAATGATGATGAAATGTCTAATTAATGTTACTTGATGACTTTTTAAATTCCATTTGATGGAATATTACTCGTATGACGTGTCATCGTTACATTTATTTAATTATTGTTAGGAATTGAGAAAGACTAGCGGAAAATACCTTCTCTCTCTACTTGATGTTAAGAGTGGTGTCAAGTTGTGTTGCAAACATTTATCTATAGGCTATGGCGGACCACCATACCAGAGGCCCAGGCACGAATTTTGTTAGCTTCGTAATCGTATCGCATCGTCAAAGTTTCTATGAAAACTAAGTACCGGACGTAAGAACAAACTGGCTCCTTCCATACAAAATTTGACGATGACGATACGATTACGGAGCTGTCAAAGTTCGTGTTTGGGCCTCTGGTGAGCTTTAAGCTTGTTTGCCATTCTTTCAAGTAATACGATTAGCAAACCTACCTGATGATAAGCGACCGCCATAACCTTTAGACGCTTGTGGAATTTGATTACCAAACGCGCGTTACCTACCCTATAGAAGACCACAGCAAAATAACACTACCTATTGGTGGTGTTGTATTACTGTCGGTGAGTAAGGTTCCAGGGCTCTACGGGGTAGGAGATTGGGTCAAGATAGGCAACGGAGCGAGTAGTGCAAACTTACCTGATGATAAACGACCACCATAATCTAGACGCTTGCGGAATCTGATTACCAAACGCGCGTTACCTACCCTACAGAAGACCACAGCAAAATAACACTACCTATTGGTGTTGTTGTGTTACTGTCGGTGAGTAAGGTTCCAGGGCTCTACGGGGTAGGAGATTGGGTCAAGGTAGGCAACGGAGCGAGTAGTGCAAACTTACCTGATGATAAACGACCACCATAATCTATAGACGCTTGCGGAATCTGATTACCAAACGCGCGTTACCCACCCTAAAGAAGATCACAGTATAATCACACTTCTCGTTGGTGGTGATGTGTTTCTGTCGGTGAGTAAGGTTCCAGGGCTGTATGGGGTAGGGGATTGGGTCAAGGTGGGCAACGTAGATGTGCATCTGAATTGAGTGATCCTTGTTTAGTTTTCAATAAAATCAAAACGTACATTTAGTGTAAAATTGTCAAAACTCATAACCGAAATCAAAAAATTTGTCACTGAAAGGCGATCGAAAATATTGCCCAAAACGTGGATCACTCAATTCAGACATTAGGCAAAATAGTATACGCTGAATCTCGGAAAACTTTAACGCTGTGAACGAAATTTTGATATTAAAAAATTGTACAGAATTTGTCACATTATTTTACAAAAAATCAAGTTACTTCAACGTATATCCAGGAATCTATGATAGTTTCATTGGATCACTCAATCCTGATGCATTTAGATTGAGTGATCCTAGAAATACGGCGTTATGTTTACGTGCATAAAAATTTTTTTGAAGGTAACTTTTGGAAATATCTGTACAAATTAATAACACACCACAAATGCTTAAAGTTAAAAAGTTATGACCAATCAAACTTTTTTTAATTTGCTGAACTGAGTGATCCTTATAAACGCATGTAGAGAACCACCTCTTGGTATAAAATATACAGAAAAAACGTTGAAATTTTGTACAATATTTTGACTAAAATTTGGCATATAATTTATTTGAATAAGTCATACCATTCGTAAAATTTTCGTTTTTTTTTTATTGTCAATGATAATCTATAAACGCTTGCGGTATCTGATTACCAAACGCGCGTTACCTACCCTAAAGAAGATCACAGTAAAATAACACTTCTTATTGGTGGTGTTGTGTTTCTGTCGGTTAGTAAGGTTCCAGGGCTCTACGGGGTAGGCGATTGGGTCAAGGTAGGCGATTGGGTCAAGGTAGGCGATTGGGTCAAGGTAGGCAACGGTGCCATTGATATTTTTGGTATCGCAAGCATCTATAGGCTATGCTAGCGGCTTACCATCAGGCGTGCGCGATGGCAGGACTGATGCCAATCCCCACGCAAAATAGGCACTGGGTGTCGAGTTGCGGAAACAGCCCGCCGTACTACTAAGACTAAGACTGCCATCAGGCGGGCGATACGCTAGTTTGCCACCCTTTAACTTTAATAAAACCCTAGCCTGATCTCTTCCCCTTGCAAGTCTGGAAACCTTATTCACCTACAGAAGCACGGCACCACCAAAAAGTAGTGTTTATTTCCACTCGTCTGTAAGGTGGAGGTAGGTAGTTTCCCCAGTTAGTTGCTGGATTTCCGATGTCTTCTTACCTTTAGTTATCTTAAAATGCTAATGATGTTTGAGTCTCTGTCTGATGTTACGTCTTGCTTTCGGTTCATTTTGTTTGATAATAGTTTATTTATTTACGATGCGGATATCTGATAGCGATAACCTGGTGTTATCTGCCACTAATCCTCCTTTCAAGGTTCGAGATGCCTACTTAGATACGAGTACTTTTTGTATGATATTTTATTGTAGAATGTACAGGGGGGATCTGAGGACTTGCTATTTTATTTATATAAGTAGCGACATCTGTTAGTAGAGTCTGTCCGAAAAGAGAATGGGCGTGGCGAAAAACGGAACTAACAAAGATTTTTTTATAGCAATTTAACCCAGCCATCTGTCGAACATCAAAGTTTAATATTGATGCGGATTTGTTTGTTATTGTGATTTCTTGTGGTTTTTTGTATTTAATCATGTCTAAAAAGGGCAAAACCTTACAAATACGGTAGAAAAGCACTACAGCGTCCTCAAATCTAAATCCCATTCTCTTTCCGCACAGACTCTATTGCCATTTCAGAGGTACCGTACGGTTAACATATTTATAAAAACAAAAGCTTTATTTGGCGCTGAATTATGCCGGATATGTTTCCCTCAAAATCGGACATCAGTCTCAATTTTTTTTTCGCCCTGAGCCTGAGCAGTGCAACACGTAAATCGAAGGTCTTAACGAATATCGAATATGCCACACCAAAATCTGGCCGGCTAGAATCAAGAAGCCAAACATGTCTCAATACCAGGAGACTAATCACCTAACTTCAAAATATTTAAAGATTCTTTTTAATATTAGATTACTTTTCAATTCTTGATAGAATTTGTTAAGAGAATCTTTATGTTGGCATTAAACATTAATGTTAATGTTTGGTGTGACAGATGTCATTTATTTTGATTGGGCATAATTTATTCGGCCGATTAAATAATTGCCCCTTTGTAATAAGAACTTTGAATGTTTATTAAATTGTACTTTTGTTTGTTACAGAAGGCGATATGCCAGTAAAGGACGGCGCTAAGCGCCCTCTGATAGGAGTCATCGACGATGGAACCAAGACTGTTAGATTTGTAGTAAGTGGACATTTTGTCTTCCATTGCCTCACATAATCGCCAACATTATAGAAATTCATGTTATTAGCCGAATAGTCTCGTACTTTCTTTTGAATTGAATATCGGAAAGCAAAAAGACAGCTAATATGAAAGACATAGACGTAGTTGGTATTTTAACCAAACATGTTGCTATGACAACATAATATGCACTGTTTAATGTTTATATTATGACAGTAAAACTGCTCAGTTTACGTGGCAACGGTACAAACCCGAAAGGCGCATAGATATTTTCGTTTTTTTCGTGCCTATCAATCGACATATTTCCCATACTCACCCGTTATTTCTGATAATATTGATTTGGTATCGCTTAAAAAAATACTTTTGCAATAGACTTAATAAAATTAAAGATTTTAATATCTTAAATAACATTCTCTTTGATTTCTAAATAAAATTTCGTTGTGCAACACTGGTATCATGTTCATAAAGAAAAAAATAAATAATGAAATGATACTCTAACAGAGTCTAACAAGAAGGTTAATACATACTAAGAAATGTCATTAAATACGAATTTTTTTGTGACCTTTCAACGCTATATTGATCTGGAGATTTCGACCTTATTGCATGCGATTCAATCAAATTCAATCCAGATTTCGAGGGAATGGGTTCAAAATCAGATAGATAACTTGACAGTACCTTGTTTGTGTCGCCGTAATATTGGAGGCCTTGAAAAATCAAGTTAAACATAAATATTGTAATGTTAACGTACACAGCGATTCCATACGTTCTCAGAACGACAAAACATAATATAGAACTTAACGGAAATATATGTAAACGTATGATGAATAGGGGTCTAAACTAGCGATATTGAGTGATACAGCTACAATATGTTTATCTGGTTAATACTTAAATTTCCTGATCAAGTGCGTTAGTGTAGTAGTGCCGGACAGTTTTCCTCAAAATCATATGACAACTTGAAAAACGGTCAGTATGACTAATAACAGTAGATTATCGGCTAAAAGAGCGCGATTTATTTTCTCTTTTTTCATTATTTCTTTTGTTTCGGGTTCCTTTACATTACAGGTCATCTTTTGCGATCAAGGGACCTGTTATGGCAGCCACACACGTAACAATATACTTGCGCAAGTTCGGTATCCGTTAACGTATATTGGAAGAAATTTGGTGAACAATTCTCCCAACCCACGGTAATGTAAGCTGAACTTGCTCAAGTATGTGGCTACGATTAAGGATTCTAAACGTCAGAAAAAATGAAATAAGTTAAGAAATCGCTTGAACAGGTATATCAAAAACTTTCTTGGGTCTTGTCGTCTTGGGGTACACCCAAGCGCGAACAACTAGAGAGTATTATTCTTATCGCCACGTCAAAGTTTCTATGGGAAAGCCAGTTTGTTCTACTTAAGTCCGAGTAATAGTATAGTACTTAAGTGTACTATTGCGAGACAGGTTTTCCACAAAATCATAGGTAATGATTATTTCAAGAAACGCTGACCGTTTATCGACAGCATACTTATGTTCACGTCTATCGGTATTATCGGAACGCATTGGTTGGTTATCGATATAAACTACGGTATTGACCTTATTATGCGTCGTTTCAACCCCGCACGATATCTCTGGGCAAAGAGCGCGAGCATATCTGTACTGACATGACTATGACTAATTTATAATTTGTTCATAATGTTGTATGAAATTTTCCTGATATGTTTTTAACCATTGCATCGCCCGCGGCTTTTAGCACAAAGGTGGTGTGGCTTATAAAGTCTGCGTGTTTGTTGCAATGAAGTTGCATTTTAACCGCGGCAGTTTCCGTGTGTTTTCCACAACCTCGTGGGTAGCTCATGAAGTTTACAATGCTAAGACCACACCTAGGGTTCCCAGATGAAGAAGTCAAAATAACTGGATAACATTTTCAAATGTTGGGATTTTTTTCGGGAGAATTACACCCCTCCCTAGCCTCCCTGATGGACGTATCACGCGCTATTTAAGCTAGACGCGGACAGGGCACAGGGTAAATGACAAGTGCATCGTCATCTTCGTTAGTCGGGAGATTTCTTTATTTTTCGGTAGTCTGGAGATCAACTAAAATGTCGGTAGAATTCCCGACCATCTGGCAACCCTTACCACACCGCAGATTAGTACCACACTCAAAGAATTCGCTGAATCAAAGCTTCTCACTAAGCAATTCAAGTATTTCAAGTCTTTAACTAGAGTCTAAAAGTGGGCTGTAGTGTAACCTTAGATTTAGATCTGGGTGAAACGAATCTATTTATTACTAAGTACCTACACAAAATATTGTGATAATTTCCCAGAAATCGCTTATCAAAAAGATGTTTTTATCGAATGACTGGTGGGCGTGGAAACTTTTGAAATAAATACTTAGGTAAATCCCCTGTTTATCCCAGATATATGAAGCAGAGAGGTCGGAAGAGCTGGCGGCCTACCAGCTGGACAAGACTGAGGTGCAGCCGCAAGAAGGATGGTGGGAGCAGGACCCTCATGAGATCTTGCACCACATCAGGATGTGCGCGGAGCAGGCCATCGGGCAGTTGACTGAATTAGGTATGCTATTTTTTTTTCAAGCATTTACTTGCTAGATGTTTAAATCTAAAGAATATTTTACTAGAAGAATCCGCTCTCCGGGCCCCCTAAAATATTACTAGAAAAAATTTCACGCGGACCAGGCAGTAGACGGGACTTGAACCAGCACCCTTCGCTTCCGGGCGAATGCACTGACCATTATGCTACCGCGGCCCTAATTGCTGTGTCGAATTTTTTCCAGTAGTTCTTAGGCTGCAAGGCAGCGCCATCTCTTCGATTGTAGGTGAACCATAATGCCAAACGAATACCTTTACTAGTATTAAATATTTGAAAGAAGAGTTAGCAGTTGTAATTATATAGGTATTTGTTTTTTTAAGAATTTAACTGCTAGATGTTAAATGTAAAGAAAATTATTCTAGAAGATATTCCAGGCAGACCAGGCAGCAGACGGGGCGGGATTATTTAGATTTACTGAATTTCTTTTTAATTGTTATTTGCTTGCAATCTTTTATGAGATAAAGAATTATCGAGCAACTGAACTTCTTTCCTTAAAAGAAGTTTTTAGAAAAAATGGCTACTATATTATATTTTTTTTGTTGTTCTTCCAGGTTATTCCAAAGAAGACGTTGTGACACTAGGCATCACCAATCAGAGAGAGACGACGATAGCATGGGACAAGTTCACTGGCGAGCCGTTGCATCCAGCCATAGGTAATGTGGACTTTACGTTTTCAATATAAGAGCTTCATTTCATATGATAAAGCATATCTTTTATACTTAAGGTTTAGTGTTAGTGGATTGTAATGAGGAAGACGTCTTTGAAAAGGTTTTAGCACCAATGCGTGGTTCTATTTTCCGATTTTAAGTCGGTTGCAAGTTAGATAATGAGCCGGGTAGAAAATCCGTATTTACATACAGATTGACGACCTCCATGGCCGAGTGGTTTGTACGCCGGGTTTCATGGTGTCGTCGACTCGAGAGGTCCTGGGTTCGAATCCCGGTGGGGGCAGATGTTTGTGTGATGAATACGAGCATTTGTACTCCAGTCATGGATGTTTAATACGTATTTCTATATAAATATACTTATATATGTACAGTATATGTATTCTATCCGTTACCCTAGTATCCCATAAAACAAGCCTTACAGTGCTTACTTTGGGGTTAAGGTAATTGGTGTGAGTGTAAAAAAAAAAAGATTGTATACTGGCTAATCACTATTGCCTTCACACGTCAATTTTGCCTTAATTTTTTATCTGACTGTTTTTGACAGTTTAGTGTCTGGACACCACCAGAACTGAGATAAGGTGGGGTGAAGTCATTTGCTCATGCCGCCATTTCACTTGGCTATTTACCTATAATATAATAATATAAATATAAATATTATTAACACTCACACCAATTAGCCTAGCCCCAAAGTAAGCACTGTAAGACTTGTGTTATGGGCTACTAGGGTAACGGATAGAATACATATATTTTACATATATATCTATAAAGAAATACATATCAAACATCCATGACTGGAGTACAAATGTACTCGTATTCAGCACACAAACATCTGCCCCCACCGGGATTCGAACCCGGGACCTCTCGAGTCGGCAACACCATGAAACCCGGCGTATAAACCACTCGGCCACAGAGGACAGAGGTCGTCAGTTTGCTATTTGTAAACTTGGCTCAACAGTCTGTCCTTATCATGCTTAATTAGGAATGAAAGCGATAGACTGATGTTAAGTTTACAAATAGCAACAGAAATGGCCATGTGGTGTACCGCAATCAGAGCTTATTATCTATATATATAAAAATCAACAGCTGTTCGTTACTCTCGCTAAAACTCGAGAACGGCTGAACGGATTTATCTTATCTTAGTCTTGAAATGTTCATAGAGGTCTAGGGAAGGTTTAAAAGGTGAGGTAATATGGAAAAATTGCGAGGAAGATAGTCAAAAACGTCAATTTAATTTTCCCATATAGACTGTTCTATCTTCTTTCCTGTCAAACATTTGACGTTCGTCCCTTTTGGTACGGTAGACTCGGGTCCGTCATTTCTTCCATATTATTTTAACCCGTACGAAGTACGTGGGGTCAACTAGTATACAAAAAAATGTGGGCTTTTGGTACTAATGTAAGTATTTTTATCTCCTATCAAAATCTGTCTATAGAGGCCTATCTAAAATCTGTCTGGACAGGCCTATCTAATCGGTGTCTGACTCCACTCGATTGCAAATAAACTGGGTCAACCGCTACTACCTTGAAACTTAATCCATTTTCTCAAAATGTATAAAACTTCTCATTTCTTTGTCGCACTATCCGTAAATTCAATGCTCTGCTTGCTCACGTGTTCCCTTATAACCTGGGATCCTTTAAAAGAGGCGTGAAGAAGCAACTTGCAGGCCGGCAAGGTGAGGATGGCTGGTGTGGCGGGTAGAACTGCTGTACCAGCTATCTTCTGGACCTATGTATAAAAAAATAAAAACTTACAACTATCAAAGATACATCTACTGAAAGTTCTTTTCTTAATGAATAAATGACTAAAATAATTAATCAAGCAAGAAACACAATGAACAGTTTTTTGCTAATTTTTGAATAAAATTTGCCGTTATCGTTTTTTTTTAATATGTTGATAGTGATAGTCTAAATTTACTTATCATTTTTTTAGTTTTTGCCCCTCGTTTTCATAGACGTGTGGTTTTTTTCCTACCAATAGACACAACTGGAGAAGGACTCTTCTTTGGAAATTTCTTAATAAGAACTTAATAAAAAAAAGTACATTTTATTTGCTTTTTTTTTGGTTCGTCAACATTTGTTTCAATGTGTCTTACACACTATAAAAATTATTTTTTAAACTTAATGTACATTTTTTTAGACGAACAGAGCACGCATGATTCTTTTTCTCTTAGTATAATATTTAACGTTTAAAAATAATACTAAAAACTAATAGCCGAATATGAAAATGACAATGAAAAATTTTAATATCATGAAACGCACTTTCTTTACCTATAACTCCGATAGCTATAGTAAAGACGTATATACGCTATAGACGTAAGTTGAGAGAATGCTATCAACTTTTATTGTACAAACATTTTCTTTCACGAATTAATAATATAATGTTAACTAACTATTCTTATTTAAAAAGTTTCAACAAAGTTTACAAAGTAAACAAATGCTGGCATGCTAATGAGATTGGCACCAGCTACATACGGTATCAATATATTACTGCCAGAACTGCGCAGAGTGGAGGATAACATATCAGAAGTGGGCTAAATATACTGTTAATCAGTATATTGCAGAAAATTTATGGGTATAAATATCTTTGCTTATGCAATATTAGTTGAGGCCCCGATTACCAAACTAGAAAGAACTGCATTTCAAGAGTCAACCAACTATTTATGTGTTTTGTTGTGTTACGGAAAAATGCGCGCGCGCCAGCGCGCGTGTGTGTGTGTGTGTGTGTGTACAGACTTAAATACTTAAAAGTGTGTGTATGAGAGGAGAGAGTGGGTGTATTTCGTAATGTATATCAGTATACTGGCCAGTGCTAATGACGTCATGGATCGACGCTATACTGGTGAATTGTTCCGAAATATATTGGCCAGTGCACTGACGTCATAAATCGACGAAATATTGAAAATAGTGCGAATAAAGAAGATTTTTTATTCACCTCATCAATTAAAAGGAATTCTTTTTGTTCGGATGCCATTATAGTTCTTTAAATAAAATAGAAATAAAATTCGAATGCATCTCACGCACACTCGATCATACGTCGTATTCGTTTTCCCGGTAAAAATTTGGTAGCATACCAGTACAACATGGCGTCGGATTCGTGACGTCATTACCACTGGCCAGTATACTGATGTACATTTCGGAATACACCCAGTGTGTGTTTTTGGGTGTGGAAGAGGTGTACAATGTAGGCACATGAAATAATAACTTAACAGCTAGTCAAGAGTGAGTACCAAAAATGAGATATGATAAAAAGTAGTAAACAGCAGATATCTAATGAAATATGTATAAAGTAATAAAATAAATCAAAAGGAAATTTTACTAGAAAAAACTCCACCACGGTCCAGGCAGCAGACAGGACTCGAACCCGCACCCTCTGCTATCCGGGCGGATACACTCACCAATTATATCAAAATATGATAAAAAATGATATTAAACTATAGTTCATTCAAAGTGACTTAATGCAGGCTCTATTGAACCGTCCAAAATTTTTCCTACCATTCAGGATATCTTTTAGTTGATAAGAAGAATAGGTGCAAGAAATTTATTAGCATTTAACTATTAATAATTAATAATATTAGCAATTAATAAATGCAATTAATAGGAAGGTACTTAGCACATTCATTTAACGATAAATGTTTTATAATTTAATTCCAAATTAAAATTAATTGGTCGAACATGATAAGCATTCCATTTTTTTCCTCTTTTGGCGTAGGTACAAGATAAGGGTTGTGCAATGTCCATAATACCAAGCAATGTCCAAACATACCTAATAATCATTATCAGCTTATAACTGTCCCCACTGATGGGGCACAGTCCTTTTCTTTGGACGGAATAGGAAGAAGGGCCATTACTCACCACGCGAGCTAACGACTGCATATGCGTCCTGGACCAACGGCTGAATTTGCCTTCCGATGTTAGGCCGAGATTATAAAATTTTGGTCATCCATCCTGTGACTGAGCATTGTGTAGGTTGCTTGACTTCCGCGATCGCAGAGCGAACGTGTTAACTACTGTGCTATCAAGCTTCGGTGTCAAATCGCTAGAAAAATGAGCTAGCACTATTCAATTCTGTAGGTATCCTTCAATATCAAAGCAAAACTACTCCCAAGATAATTTTTGGTAGACCTTCAAAAAGATGTCAGTTGTGATCGAAGGTCGAAGCAAAAGAAAAGAAAATTGCGAGTGGGCATATAAAGGGTTCCGTAACATTGTACTAGATTTAACATAAGGTCGAGGAGAGAAGTGAACCGCCGACGCGTTACGCCTAGCTTAAGTGAAACATCGAAACTTAATTTTTAAAATAAGAAACCAAAAGCATTAAGTAAAAAAATTAAAACAAAAACTAAAATAGGTATATGTTTGAATTTTTTTTCTTTCGTTCCGTCAGTACTGAATTTTTATATTATGATATTTTTGTTGTCATAGCGGCAATAGAATTTTACATTCTGTGAAGGACCTCCAATCATTTACTGTTCATGAGGGCCTAGTAACAGACGAACGGACGGTCAGTGGAAGCAGGGCTGGATTTAGAGGTGTGGAGGCCCCAGGGCAGTGAAAGAGGGGGCTATTTCCTATTTCAATCCCAGGGCCCATTTAAGATTTGCACTTTCCATTGGGGGGGGCAAATCTAAATCTAATAGCCGAGCAGACCAGCTAGTTTGGCCGACATTTGGGTAACCGGACAACCTACATGATTGAAGATTTTGTGGCTGTAAAAGCGACCGGCAGTCAATTCTCTTGCGCTCGGCCACGCTAGGCGCTCGCTCGTTTACGAAAAGTAAAATGCCTAACAAAAGCCGAATAAGCCAGACACTGTTTATTTTTGTCGGACACGCAATGAAAAAGCCTAACTATGTCCGACTTTATCCGGACGCCTGGCAACGCTACCTGCATTAAATCCGGCCCTGAGTGTAAGCTTAGCCAAGGTTCAGTTGTTTCACCATTTCACTGCAGAACCCTAAAATAAGTAGGCAACTCGAGTTTGTTTTCCACTCGCATGAATATTATTACGTCTTTTGAACGAGTGCGACCTATGTTGTGTTGAATGTCAATGGCGCGTGGGTTTCTTGACCCACTACCTACGTCGCCGATAAACAGTCCTTGGTAACTCTGATGCAATTGTTGCTAACGTATATTTTCCTACTTTTTACGATAAAAAATATTCCGAATTGAAAAACTCCTCCATTTTTGAGTTATTCCATAACTTAGAAGACCTTATGTTTTTATTGTTTTAAGCATTTAACTGCTAGATGTTTAAATCTAAAGAAAAGTTTTACTAGGAAAAAATAAACAGAATAACTATAATTGCTATTTCTTCTTTTAAAATGTTTAATACTTGAAAAAGTATTCATTTGACATTGTGGGTTACCTACAATGCGAACAGATGGCGCTGCCTTGCTTAGCTTAAGCTAGCTTAAGGCTAGGAAAATTTCGACGCGGCCATCAGGGCCGTGGTAGCATAATTGGTCAGTGCATTCGCCCGGATTGCGAAGGGTGCGGGTTCGAGTCCCGTCCGCTGCCTGGTCCGCGTGGCTTTTTTTCTAGTAAAACTTCTTAGATTTTTATTTTTGTCCATTTTTTCAAAGATACAAAAGATTTTGTAGAAAGTTCTTACGAAAAAAGTTTGGTATGTTGCAGAATATAAGGAATTTAAGAAAACTTAACCGACAACTCTACGCAAGAGATGGCGCTGAAGTCAGTCGTTTCTTTTCAAATATATTTATCGGGCAGTACAATGTCTGTCGGGTCCGCTGGTCATTCAATGAAACACTAACTAACGTTTTATGGGCTACAGTCTAGTCGGATTTAAATAAATTATTTCGATATTAATACGTGAAAGAAAAGGACCTGTATGATACCGGAAGTATTTTATTTCTACCTCCCTTATGCATAATACTAACTTTATTCCTCTAGGATGGAATGACATCCGGACAGACTCCACCGTTGACGCAATATTAGCCAAAGTGCCTGACAGAAACAAGAACTATCTGAAAAGCATATGCGGTCTACCGATCAGCCCGTACTTTTCGGCGCTGAAGATGAGGTGGTTGAAGGATAATGTGAAAGCAGTCAGAAGGGCGAGCAGGGAGAAAAGGTTGCTGTTCGGCACTGTGGACTCTTGGATCATTTGGGTACGATGCTTCTTCTTTATTTTCAGCCTAATAAAGTCCTTATTCCCTTGGTAGTATTAAAATAGCAATAATAAAGTATTGACAAAGTACTTGTTGGCTAGGTTAGGTCGCTTTTGCTGACTACGAGCATTAGGCCACGGTAATATTATTTATACAGTATTGTGACTCGGCCCTGTCCTTGAAATAAATGCCTACGGCCGAGCGGGACGTATCCCCGCGGTAGGGCTTCCCGCCTACAGTATTTTAATTTCATCTACATAATTGAGTTTCTTTCTAGTTTTGTGATTGTAAATATTTTATTTCATATGAAAAAAAAATGTTGTGAATGAATTAGGAAGTGTTACATAAAATACATGTTATTTTAAGTGTAATATTTAATAAAAAAATATGTAGATTTGAGACAGAAAAATATTTACGCCTCGACTGAGACGTACGAAAAGCTTTTTATACTATTATAAATTTAATATTATAATAGTATAAAAAGTTTAATTATTGAAGAGTTCAAGTAACCAAACCAGCACAATATCGACTATTGCTCTTTGCCATATTGAATTATGTAAGTATTTACTTAATTCAATCAAATATTGTGAATATTTTACAAACATTTAAGCACGGCTAACTGCTTCAAAAACTATTGACACCGTTCGGTCGTCGCTGCGGCGCATTCGCGACTGGATGCCCACCGGGTGCCGCGCGAACTCGAGTGGCGTAGGTATGACACGCTTTCCGACCGTTTGTATGAAGATAGAATACTGTATAGATAATATTACCGTAATTAGGCCCTGCGCTGCGTTAGAATAAACCAAAAAACCTGAACATAATTTTAATCACTTGAATCTCTGTCAGTGATCTTCAATTAAATACGCCAATCTGTTAAACGTTGAGTTGTTCCGGTTCAGTTAACTGTCAGGCTAGGAATCAAATTGGATGCCGGCGCTTAATAAACAGCCTAGGTATCCAGTTGGCTGGTTAATTTAACCACATGGCTGCGACATAATATTGGCAGATTTTTTTATTTTATTTATTTATTTTCAGAATTTAACAGGCGGTCCTCAAGGGGGGCTACATATCACAGACGTCACCAATGCGTCGAGAACGCTACTCATGAACCTTGAGACTCTGAATTGGGACCCGATGCTGTGTAGGTAAGACATAATTCAATTGCCACTTTTAAACCAAAATCTGACAAAACAAATAAATATTAGATGAAATCGTAAATCTACATTACTAAGACCCGTATTACAGAATGACAACTAAGTGTCGATCTTTACTTGAGCACAGTTAGAAAGGGATGGCGCTATGTGCTGCACAGAGCGACATCCCTTTCTAACTGTACTCAAGTACAGATCAACACTTAGTTGTCATTCTGTAATACGGGCCTAAGACCTCCTTCAGTTATTAACACTGATCTTATTGATATAGAATAACCAAAATGATTATGCTGTTATTCTTAATGAGATATCAGCTGTCCTCCGCTGTGTTAACAGCGGTTTATTAGGGATATTTTCCCGCAGTAAAACGTAGCCTATGTGTATAGCCAGGGTGTCAGCTAACTTCATACCAAAGGACATGGTAAAGTTTTGTATGAGCGACTGCCCTGGCAATGTATAAATACTGTACTTAGTAATATTTAATGGTAAATGGCTGAATATTTATAATTTCTAAGAACAAAGGCTCAGGAACTTTTGATAAAGTCACAATCTTGAAAATTATGAGAACTCCGACTATGTCATTACCTTACATCAACTATGATAAAAGATGTTGCCAATTATTTACAGAGTCATCAATTTCGCATTTTCTTAGAATCTTTCTTCTCATTTCTCTGATTAACTCTTTACAAAAAGTTTTTATAAAGCAAAAATAAATACAAATAATTTGTTATCGTCGGCCTGACAGGAAATCTGTGAAGTTTTATTTTTCCATTTGCAAAAATTAAAGGATTAATTTTCATACAGCCTTGTCTCAAGTCCGATCAGAATAATAAAATCTAATATTTTAGACCTTCCTAATTTTTATTTGTTATAATAAAAATTAGGACCAAATCAATATGTATACTTTTAAATTTTGATTATTTCACGAAAGTTGTATGAGAATAATAAACACGTAATATTTAATAAAAAAATATTGTAAAGTTACGGGCTAGTGCGAAATATTTATACACGTTAAGGGCAGTTTCTTAGCCATGTCCTTTTATTTAAATCGCTCCAGCGCTTTCATAATATTAGTGTGACATATTAGCCGGCTTTAAAAGAGAGGAGGTTTACAATTCTTCATGGTTTTTTATCATTGTTCGTTCGTGTAACCCTGAAATTTGTGGTCCGATTTGAAATAGGGTAGGGTAGTTTATACATATTAGATAACTCGGTCGTCTTGGCGTTAAAATTACTGAACTTACCCCTAGCACGAACCAATATGGAATTCGAATAGTTTGCGAGTCCGCAATATCATTGTCAAAATTTGTATGGTAACTTGAACAGTAGCGCCATAAAGGACGTAAAGAGAATTAAAAATCAGTACACATTTGACTAAGTGTACTCGTGCTAAGGGTACTGTACCCTAGCACGAACCATTATCGAATTCGAATAGTTTGCAAACCGAAATGTCAATGTCAAAATTTGTATGGAAACTTGAACAGCAGCGGCACAAAGTACATAACGAGAACTAAAAATCAGTACACATTTATTTATTTATTTATTTATTATTTTATAAGAAATACATTATAATCTTAAGTGTATAACAGTGTCTCATAAACCATTATTCGTTTTCCCGGACACTGCCGTTTGCCATCAAGACCCGCAGGTACGCCTACTCATCAACAAATATAAGTTAAACCATTCATTCATCAGACATTAATCGGTAAGGTAGTGTTATTAATATTTTTTTTTTACATATACCGCACCGCCTTTAGTGAAAAGCTAGGTATCTGTTGGCCAAACACCGCGCAGAGTAATTACAAATTACAAAATTACAAAATTAGTTTATTTCAATAACTTAGCCTACTACAATATATGAGTATGGTACATCCTTTTAAGCAGTAAAATTGCTTGTGTTAGGATGCACCGCTCTTCCATAGCTTGAGTAATACACCAAAAGAGTGGAAACACACGGGCTGATTTCGTGTTTCATATATATTTTTTTGAAGTTATACTTCTTTAGGCGCGTTATGAAAAAATGATGAGAGTGAAATTTTAAGATGCGCGCGCATCACTGTAACACAAAAAATTAACAGCATTGGTTGGCAAGGTTCGACCGTAGCTACTCAGGCCGTAATGTATTGTACTTTCACCGAGTGCCTTATACAACTGCAATAGTGTTTTATACGGAATTTTGTTTTTAACAATAACAAAATTCAAAATTGACAATGACATTTCAGACTCGTAAACTATGGTTTGTGCTATTGTATCCAATTTCGTGCAAATAATGATAAAAACAGTTATTTTATAAAATAATTGATTTATTAACTAAATTCGACTGTTTTTAGTTAATAATCATAGTGATAACAACTATTTCTTTGGCAGGTTGTTTGGTATACATCGCGATACTCTGCCTCAAATCCGGAGCAGTTCCGAAGTGTACGGTTCCGTGAACGATGGAACTATACTCGACGGCATCAGTATATCAGGTGTAAGTGTAATAAGGGTGCTTAGGAAAATTTACGCCGCCATTTGGCGCCACTGTGACCAAGAGGTTTTTATATGTTAGTGACCTGCCTCGTTTCGCTTCTATGAAGACTTCAGTTCTTGTTCTCGTGCATATATTATACATATAAAACTTCCTCTTGAATTACTCTATATTGCGTTATATTTTAAGCATTTAACTGCTAAATGTTTGAATATAAAGAAAAAAATTCCACGCGGATCAGGCAGCAGACGTGACTCGAACCCGCACCCTCCGTTGTCCGTGCGGACGCACTGACCATTATACTACCGCGGCCCTAATTGTCCGTGTCGTATTTTCTCAAGCATTTCTTAGGCTGCGAGGCAGCGCCATATCTTCGCATTGTAGGTAACCCATAATGTCAAATGAATACCCTTACAAGTATTAAAGATTTGAAAGAAGAAATCTATTGCTCAAAACTGCATTAAAGTCCGTTGCGTAGTTCAAATGCTCTAAGCGTACAGACTGCGGGAACAACTTTGCTTCATACTATATTAAGATAGGTCTCTCAGTTTAAACAGATAATGGAAGAGATAGAGAATGACAAGGATACACTGATGTCGATTCTGGCGTGATTCTCTAAACTTTTAAACTAAATTTAACATCAGTCGCTCCTTTTCATTCTATATAGAGAATGACAAGGATACACTGTTGTCAAATTTAAGTTTAGGTTTAGAGATTCATGCCAGAATCGACACCATTGGTATCGATTCTGGTATGATTCTCTAAATTTAAAACTTAATTTAACATCAGTCTCTCCCTGTCTCTCTGTATAGAGAATAACAAGGATGCACTGTTATCAAATTTAAGTTTAGGTTTAGAGAATCATGCCAGAATCGACAACATTAGCATCGAGCTGTCAATATTTCCTTCTAGCTGATCTACATATATAAACAATTTATAAAAATCCTATCACAGTTATTGCTATCGAACTCCTCCGAAATGGTGGTATAAGCTTCCCCATTTACGCTTATCCGTACGATTAAGGTATTCAGGGCTCCATAGGGTAGGACCCTTACTCCTCAGGGTAGACAGCACTCAAATGATAGTTTTGCAAGCATCTATATTCTATGGTGGCCCCGGTTTTTTAACATAGAAAATCTCGATGATGAAGGCTTCTTAAAGGTCGGAGTCGTTGATAAGCTTTAGATTATTGTATTCTTATTGCATGTTGTCAATTTGTCCCTTCTTTATTTACACAGTATAGAACAAGTCAATCCCCGCTGTCTTTGCGCTTAGATTAGCATTTTATTACAGTTTTTAGTAATAGATAGAATGGTTCAAGAGGTTTCATAATGTGTAATACATGTTCGATTGACCGCACCGAAGCGAAACGAAGGCGGATCAGTAGTTATTACATACAATTTTCTTTTTTAACAGATATTAGGCAACCAACAATCAGCTTTGGTCGGTCAGAATTGCTTATTAGCCGGTCAGGCAAAGAATACGTACAGAAGCGGTTGCTTCTTGCTATACAATACCGGCACAAGGCGGGTGCAATCGACGCACGGTTTGCTGACTACAGTGGCGTACAAACTTGGACCGAATTCACCTGCCGTTTATGCTTTGGAGGGTAAATCATCTCTTCTTATTGTAATTTTTATTGTGAAGTTTTTAGTTTACAATTTTATTGAAAATACATTTTGAGCCCTAACGCAGGCCCACTAGGGCTACTTTAATGTAATGCATGTGAAAGTTTGTATGTTTCTTATGCTAGCTCTTGACAAAGCTATTCGAATCGCAATGCGAGTCAATGAATTTGACAGTAGTCTATTTTCATTAAATATAGAACATGATAGGCATATTTATAGAGGAGCTCGATGGCGCAACTGGTTAGCGCGTTCGGCTGCGATCGTTGAATTTAAGCAACTTTCGCAGTGGTCGGTCATTGGATGGCTGACCAAAAATTTACTATCTCGAGCTCCTCCGTGCTTCGGAAGGCACGTTAAGCCGTTGGTCCCGGTTGCATCTGCAGTCGTTAGCACCCACCAATCCGCACTGGGCCCGCGTGGTGGGTCATGGCCCAATCTCCCTATTCCATGCATAGGGAAGGCCTGTGCCCCAGCAGTGGGGACATTAATAGGCTGATGATGATGATGAGGCATTTATGCTGTCATTTGACAGTTAGACTAATAAGTGAACTGCCAACATGTTCTATACACATAACTAAATGAATTTTATCGAGAATTAGTACACCGATATAGGCTGCGTTTAGCCCTATCTGTTATCACAGGTTATGGCGGCAATTCACTTAGTTATTCGTATTTACTATTTGTAACCTTGACAACAGCCTGGCCTTATCATGCTTTTTAAGGCATAAGAAGGACAGACTGATGTCAAGTGTCCAAATAGCAAAGGAATAGACAAGCGAAGTACCGGCATTATATCAGAGTTACAACAAATTAGAAATTGTACAACCATGATGTGACGAATATGATTTTGCGAGAAATTTAATACATGTCTATTTATACTTAATTTTCCATTAAACAGGCTCGATAGCCGTAGCCGGTGGCGCTATGAAGTTCCTCCGAGACAACTTGAAGCTCATAAAGGATATACCCAAAGACACGGAACATATTGCCGGCCAAGTGTTCTCTACCGGAGATGTTTACTTCGTGCCCGCATTCAGTGGATTGTACGCCCCGTATTGGAGAAAGGACGCGAGAGGGTGAGATTTTGAACCTAATTGTAATGGAAATTAAGTTGAATTTGATAGATTTGTCATTCGCAAACAATACTATCTCGTGGCTATCTCTTATACAGTAAGGTAAGCCATTAATATAAATTGAAAATAAGAAAGGACCAAGGATTGGGCCCTGTGGAACTCCTATCTTAATCGACGAACCCGGAGATTTATTACCATTGATGTCAACCCTCTGAACTCTTTATCAAGTATAGTGCATAAAGACCCAGATTGTTATATCCAAATACATATTGGTGAAGTTTCCTAAGTTATTGTATATGCAAAACGCAATCGAAAGCCTTGGACAAGTCGCAAAATAACCTAGCCAAATGTTTTGGAAATCAGATTGATTTTTCTTTATAGCTCCGTGCAGATTGATATAGGCTGTAGCTCTGTGTGGGTCTGTGGGGCTGTAGTCTACCTTCATATAATATGTATATGTATATAGTACGTATGAATTTATTTGATGAAAAGTACATATATTTCAGTTTTTTCTTCTTCTTGGCGTGTTATTTGGTGCCTGTAAATAAATTTTAGTAAATGTAAAATCTGAAGAATGTTAGTGTGTGAGGTTTAAAACTTATTTTTATTTAGATAAGCTTGAATTTGGGTATGCCATCTTTCAGATTTTGAGCAACTGAGAATTTGAACCATATCCTAAAGGAAATATGGTCGATATTCATTCGCACTTGCTTTTATCAATTCTCACACGCCTTATTGGATGAAAGATCCAAGCGAGATTTTGAACCTTATGTGTATGGGTATAACGTTGATTTGGTTGCAATGATAAACATTTAAGGTCTTTACTATCATTACTCGTTCGATAAGAAAAGGACGCTTAACCATTTTCAACTCAAAGGAAACACAATAAAGTTGAATATAACGTAATTATGTTTTGTTTCAGAATCATATGCGGCTTGACGTCATTCACCACTAAAAACCACATCATCAGAGCCGCATTAGAAGCTGTTTGTTTCCAAACTAGGTGAGTTCTGCACTAAAACCTCCTAATTTTTTATATTATATTCTTATTTGTAGGATATCCATAATACATGTGAATAGCGCCATCTTTTAAGACGCTGTGTCAACTTGCTCGTTTTGCGTTGTTTGTAAAAAAACAATAGGGTATAAGAAGGTATTGAAATCGATCCCAAAATTTTAAATAAAAAAAAGTGTATTCCAGTAAAAAAATAAATTTAAAAAATCTGCTTTCAATTATGACGCTTCCACGTTTCTCTGTATTAAGCTTTGATCAACTGACTGGAAGTTCACATATGTATGAATTTATTTTAGGCTCCGCCAATCCTAGGCTTTTCGGTTACGTGATAGTTGATAAAATAACTAATGACATAATATTTTCTATTTCGTGATTTGCTTTTAGTAAAATTAGAAATATTTCTCTGTAAAAATTGCTGCCAATATTAATTCTAAATAAAGATGCAAATTTTCGGTACTTTATTTCGGCACAAATTTAAACATCATTAAAAAAGTTGTAATTCCACATCAAAAAAATACAATTAGCAACTTAACAACTAAGTTGAATAAAAATAACCTAACCCTTAGGTTACCAATTATTGTATTTTTAAAGTGATCATTTAATATTTTTTGATGAGGATAATCTAAATAATTTGCCTTTATTTTTCATAGTGTTAAATACCCTAATAACTGAATAATTCTTTGTTTACCTACAGAGATATTTTGGAAGCGATGCACAAGGACTGTGGGATGCCTCTAACAAAACTCCACGTGGACGGCAAGATGACTTCCAATGATCTCTTGATGCAACTGCAGAGCGATCTCATTGGAATGCCAGTTTGTAAGTAAACTACATTTATATGAGACCAAGTTTAGCGTTTTCTTCACAAAATTACTAGCCTTTAATTGTTCTAGTTGAACCTTCGACATTTATATATTGACAGTACAGGCAAAGTTCTACAAAACTGGACAATCGTTCTAAATAAAATATGAGTTTAATACAAAGCCTGAAGTTTGATAGATAATTTCGACAGTTTTGGATAACTTGATCTGTTGCTCTTTGCACCATATGGAATGAACAATAAAAAAAAGTTATAAACAAAATATATACGATATAATTGGGTAGACTATATAATGATTAGCCCTTTATTTGGAATGGAATCCTTCATTTGTTTATCTGTAGAAAATTCGTTATTAGTTATAGAGTCGCCGGTTACGCGTTACGCGCGTAACGTAAAAATCGGCACACTTCCGCCAGTTTACACCCCAAGTCAAGCGTGCCTAAAGAAGTTTCACTACTAAAAGGCTAATCGGTGTGAGTGTGGGTGATATTAATTTATTTGTCGTATTAATGTTGATGTTTATTTTGGTTCAGTGCGCGCCCACTCGTGGGACATGTCGGCACTGGGCGTGGCCGTAGTGGCCGGCGCAGGCGCTAACGTGTGGAGCTACGAGCGCTGGCGCCGACACGCCACTGCGGCTGATACTTTCCTGCCCACTGCCACCGACGACGGTGAGTCATTGTGCGATATAATGTGTGTTTATTGCAGGTTTCATGAATCGTTCGTTTCATCATCATTCATTCATTCATCATTCATTCGTCGATCGTTCATTCAATCATTCGTCATTCATTCATTCAAATCAAAAACACAGTTGGTGAAATAAGGAGGATAGCAAAAAAATAACCTTGTCGTAATTCGGTCCCATTCCTGCTGGTTTTGCGAAAATGGATCCGGCTCGAAGGACCAAGATGTCGGTGATGAAAGTCTCCAGTCCTCGGACCGCTGGTGTGGACCGTATGTAGGTTTCCGGATTCAAACGCTGGTTGTTGCTTTACTACTTCCTTTATTCTTCTGGCTATTTGTTCACACGATGATTATTCTTGGCTGACTACAATTTGCCTTACAAATGTTCCGTGTTATATAATAATTTGGCCGTGTTTGGGGCCGTCGACCAATCACAGCGCTCGTTTTAATGCGCACCTCCCACGGCCCTTAAAAAGTACGCCTTCTGTTTGGTGGTTCATCACGCGACTATCCCCCATATATACCCCTCATTGTATAATGCCCCGCCCCCATCTGACGCCCGTAAAGTAGGCCTTGTGATTTGTCGGCACGTTTTTCTCGCGGCTCGGTGCACGGCTGTCGTCAACAGTACCAAAGTTATTAACGTCTAAAGTTTCATAACTCACTGCATTACTTTCTTGCCCACCGCCATATCATCATCATCAGTCTAGTACACAGACCCCTCTTTCCCAATGTGCCCAACATTGGGCAAGTGTCCAGGGCCCCGCGATCGATAGGGGCCCACCTCAGATCAAATAAAAAGTTCCAAGTTCCTATTAGATCACCAAACGGGGGTCATAAGGGCCCCATTATCCTAATATGCCCAGGATCTCCAATAGGTCAAAGACGGCACTGTTAGTACACAGATCTTCTCTGTACATCAGTGAGTCATTGTCATCAGCCTAGCACACAGATCTCCACTGTACATGGTGTAAAAAGACCTTCGACATAGCCGAAAACCACGTATTCTACCTATCATCAGTACCCCTAGCACGAACCATTATCGAATTCGAATAGTTTGCAAACCGAAATGTCAATGTCAAATTTTGTATGGAAACTTGAACAGCAGCGGCACAAAGTACGTAACGAGAACTAAAAATCAGTACACATTTGACAATGACATTTCGGACTCGCAAACGATACGAATTCGATATTGGTTCGTGCTAGGGGTACAGGACCTTATTTTTCTTCGAGACTATACCTGGGAAATCAATATTTATGAAGGCATTGAAGGTCAAAGAGAAAAAAAAATATTCAAGGTTTTAGTGGAAAATTTTTTTTTAAAGATTTATTTCTTAATTTCTGTCCAAACAAACATTATCATTTTTTTAAGTATTTGCGGTCTGTTGCGCGCTATACATTGCGTGATACTGTTTGCAATTTATTTTGAACACCAAAAAATAAAAAACCCAGCAATAATAATTTCTGGCTAAGTTTTATGAATAGAATTCGTGGGCTTTGGCTTTGTCGAGGGTTTTTTTTACACCCTGTAGATGATGATATGGAGATGCTAGCGCGCCGCTATCGCCGATACTTTCTGGCTATCGCTACTGACGACGTTGACTTATCATCATTTTAAAGATATCCCCACTCCTGGGGCACACGACTTCCCTGCTGATTACACAGGTGTGAAAAATGACTTACGGTCGTACTCACAGACGCAAAATATTTTTTATTTTATTTGGTTTTATTATCATGTCACAATCGGTCCCATTGTCTATGCAATATTTTTTAAAAATCTTAATTCTTTTGTTCACAGACCGCGACGCGAGATACACCAAATGGAAAATGGCTGTGCAACGCTCCCTTGGATGGGCGACTACGAAAAAATCTATCACAATGACAGGTCAGGCTAAAAGAAAGGAAAGTTTTATACAGCTTTTACACAACCGCGGGAACGTTAGTCGCAAAAACTCTATAATAGACAATAATGATGACCTACCCGAGTCTAGGAAAAATTCTTTAGCCAGTTCTAGTAGGCGACAATCTTTGTATGAAAGCTCTAACGGAGAGCATAGTAGAGAGAACTCGCTGTTCGAATACTCTATGGAACCTAATAGTACAACGCCATCTAGCGACAGCAGGGCTTCCTTCGAATATCCCGAAGACGGCGTAAACGCTTACGAAGAACTACTCAAATATTCCGCGCGCAAATTCTCAGTTATCGTACCTTTGAAATGTAGAAAACCCGAACAAACAATTCTAGATGACGCCGACTATTTTAACGCTAAAAAGGAGTGCGACTATGGCATGTGCGAGTGTTGCCCCGTCGAGAAAAAGATACAGACTAACTGGGAATCTATTGAGGAGATAATCGAGAACGATCCTGAAATTATATTCGATTCTGATCACAACCCGATTATAGTTGAGCCCGTGCGCGAACCGCATAACGATGATCATTTGGAAAAACTACCCTCCGTTTTTAAAACTATTTACAGTAAACTTTCACCTAGTACTTTAACGTGATCTCCCTTTTGTTATTCTTTAGATGTAATTTATTATTCGAATGAGTATTATGTAATCGAATATATGTTATAAAGCCTGTTTTTCCTTGTAGGAGTTACCGTTGAAGATATTATAGTTTTAGGGTCTAGAGTTAGGTAGCATTATAACCTTTTAATTTTTATCATAACGATGTCCTGTTGTACTATGATCGATTCTTGCATTGTTCTCCAAAACTATAACTTAATTTAACATCAGTGTCTTCTTTTCATTCTATATAGAGAAGGACAATGATACACTGTTTTCTAATTAAATTTAAGGTTTAGAGTAACAAGCCAGAATCGACCCAAATGATGGCGCCTTAGTAAAATAGAAAATGATTATAATTTAATGATAAATTTATGAACTTCTGTACTTAACTTTGTTATGTTTGTTGTAATTCGGTCTGATTTTTTACGTCCAGTATTGATTTACAATTATATGTTATCTATATATAAAATACTATGTTTTATTTGCATCTGCTGTAAATAAAAGTATTATTTCTCCTTGTTTTGGGTATTTTTTTCTTTTAAACTCCTTGCATGATCTATTTGCTGCTAACCTTTTGGGATGAAGTGTATTGTCAATTGGGGGTACCGTTCTTACGAAGATTACAATTTAATCTTTCATTTGAAACTCGCGATTATACTAAACATATAATCGCGCCTACACATGCTTGTTATTTGCTGCAGACAACAAACCTTGCAAAACACTGATCACAATCACTCAATACAAACGCGCATCTTCAGGCTTGGCAAGTAGGTATGCTAGTACATTCCGGATAGGCAAACAACATCTTTTGATTTGTGCAAAAAACCGACACCGACGGCGAACACAAACAGCAAACAGTATAAATAGGCAAACACTCATCTACACGTTTGTGTTTGCTGTTCATTTGCCAAGCGTGTGTAGGTGCCTTTACATTCACGAGAGAGGTTTAATTTTATTGCAAATAACAACAACTCGACATTTGATTGCAGATAAGTTATTTTTTTATATTGTAATGCATGACTGGTATTGTTTCAATCAAAAGTGTTTTGTGGGGTGTAGGTGTGTGTTTGTATTTATTTATTAAAGTGAAACTGTTATTAAATTGCCGGTCCGCATCTAGCCAGTGCGCCCGACCTGCGCCTGCGCCGCTTGCCGGCGGTGACCGAAGACAATTTTGAGTTTTGCAGTGTAGACGAAGGACAGAAGGTTCCAAATTGATATTAGTAAAAAATAATTTTAAAAGAAAAGTTTACTAGAAAAAAATCCACGCGGACCAGGCAGCAGACTGGATGCCTGGTCCGCGTGGATTTTTTTCTAGGAAACTTTTCTTTAGATTTAAATATCTAGCAGTTAAATGCTTAAAAAAGCAAGTAATTTTTAACTTTAATCTGAATGATAAGATTTTTTCAATTCCCAAGTTGCGCACACGCTGAAGTATTAATTAATTGGTATCTTTAAACATTTGTTAATATCCTTTTTTATAATTCTAATACATTATTTTATATTGTTATGCATGGCTGGTATTGTTTCAATCAAAAGAGTTTACATGCGTTTCTGTTTTCTTATATAACTCGTGTCATTAAAGAAAGGAATCACGAATGACAACGTAAGACATTCTGTCCCTCTCGCACATGCTATCCTAAGTAACGTGCGAGAGAGACAGAATGTCTTGCATCGGCATTTTCGATTACTTTCTTTAATAACACGAGTTATACAAATTTCGTGGTCGTGGGATTAAATTTTGATCTCGATAGAATTACTGAAATATGTTTTGTTCTTTTTTTTTCAGAAGAACGATACAAGCTTCTTGCTTCGATACCAGCCACTCTGTACCTAATAGGCAGCTTTACTATGTTAGCCGTTTCAAATTTGCTCAAGGATAGATGATAAGTGAAAATGAACCTTGTTAATTTTGCCATAAGACTAATTTTTCGATCAAAAGTAACTTCGTTTAGTAAGTTTGTTAATTGTTGACTGTTTAATGTTGCAAATGACTCTTAACTTCTGAGTTATACTTTTTTTACTGTACTTGATTGATACAAGACTCAAATGTAGGTATTTATCTCAAACTTTTCACTAATTGAGACTATTTCGATGACAGTTTGAATGGTATAGGTGGCGGAAAACTTCTTGAGCAAACTACAAATAATTAAACTTGCGCAGTAGATTTTTTTGTATGTAAAGTTGCTACTGCGCAGGCTTTCTTCTCTATGGTCGTTGCTCAAAAATTTAGCCGGGATGTATACAAATTTTACTATCTGAATCCGTGTGCGAATTAATGAATTTAATTTTAATTATATAAATAAATAGCCAAATTTTAGTTTAAGTAAGAAATGTCCTAAGCCTAAGTTGAAAAAATGTCTTTTAAATATTTGCTCTCTAGTCAAAGAGTCTTGTGATCAATAAAGGTAAATAACAATCAATGTAACAACTCATATCATGTCATTGTAACATGTACTTTGATATTACGTATAATTTACCATCAGTTTGTGACATTATTTATTTATTGTTATCAATTTACGCATTTCGTTGGCATTTTTTTATAAATTTATTATTATCACCCGTATTTAAGTCGTTAAATACAGTTTTGATTTTTTTTATATATTAAGCGTTTTGTTATAATTATATCACGGTCTAGTATATCAATGAAATAAAAGTTTTTTTTTGTAAAATGTTGATGTAATAATTTTCCATTCATTTAAACATACAGTTCTAAAACTTCTTTGATAAGCTAGAAACAAAATAATAAAACTCAATATCTTTTATTGTAAGCGTTGTTTAAAGGAGATAAACTTAGCCTATTTTAAATAAATATTGTTTTTTCTTTGACTAACTTTAACCAACGTTTTGTAATAAGGGGAGTTGCGTTTTTCATTTCTGTGCAACTTAAAGAGCGTATTGTAAATATCGGATCAAACACAACCCAAAATGAATTCAACGATTCTGCAGATTGTATTTTAACATACGGTAAGGTCACACTACCAAGAGCTTCGCTTAGTGCTAAGAGCCTAGCTGTTAGTGCCTAATCCCTTTTTTTTTTTACTACCGCTAACGAATAAGTAATAATATGGAATAAAAACTGCGCTTAAAAGTGGTTCCGCACAAACGGCGATCAAGTGGGCGGGGCGAAAAAACGTCGTTCCTGGGATTGGTTGGGATTTCCGTTTAACATTTTTTTACCCTATAAATGGAAAGCTGAATTAATTTGCAGATGTTTAATTTGTCAAAATAATTGTTTTAGCAGCCTTTGTTAGAGAATAATGCTTCCATATCATTTCTAATTCGTTGACAACTGCAGTTGGCCACACTGTAAACGAGGCACCTATGTAGGCAACTTCCATAGATTCTAGTTTGCCTTTTAACTTAAGTTTGGCAGCTAGTTTGCTTTAGATTTCGGGGTTTATTTTATTCCTTAGATAAAAAAAAATGTCTGATATATCTTCTCTATTGTAAATAATATAATAGCTCTACTGTAATGAGTGTAATTTCGTATGAACCTTTTATACTAGATATTGCGGCAGGGTCGGATTTAGAGGTGTGAAAACCCTGGGGTAACAAGTGAATGGGGGCCCTTATTTTGAAATCTTGCACCCCAGGGTACTTAGGTACGATTTGCATTCTCTTCCCCCGCTGCTAGGCGATCAGTCGAAATTTTAATATTTTTATCTCTGTTGCCCCTCTAGGTCCTGTCTATCCGGCCCTGCATTGCGGTATTGGCATGTTCAACTATTCGCAAACCATTTACGCCTCTACTCGAAAGTACTATCCAGGAAATCCATGAATCTAATACGAAAAAAGTGTTTTTTTTTAAATATTTTTGAACATGGCATTTAATTATTCATTGATGTTTACAATTGCGCAAAATCAAGTTATTTGTAAATTTAGAAAACCGTAGTTTCATATATAAGAAAGATCAGATGATTATTAATTAATATTGTTCCTCTACATTGTCACAAAAACACTAATGTAAATAATTAAGTGATTAAGGTAGTAATCATGTACAGTACAGATGATTGCCATTTCATTTAGCTGATAATTTTATTAATATTGTAAGTACGTCTAAATGCTTAATAAAACAGAGTAAATTTAAAAAAAAACCCGAATTTGAACCTTTTCTCATGGCAATAGTGTTGCAATTAATTTACTGACCCAAATTTTTATAAATACTAGGTAGTATCTTATATGAAAAAGAGTCTTAAATTAAAAAAAAAAACACTTTTGTTGCCATCGTAATAGCAGCTTTAAAATTGCTTGCCATCACGTTTTGAACTCGCGATTTTTTATTATATCATGTTTACTATTTACCTTTGAGTTATGATGATCAATAATTTACTGTAACTTTATAAAAACCTTCTTAAATTTCATTTGATATTTTAACGTCGAATGACGGTATTATTTTATCATTGTAGGCTGTGTGTATACTTCTTAAAAGTGATTTGCTCATCTAACAAGGGAGTGATATTTTGAAACGGTTTTCATAAATCATTCCTTATTCAATGACAAAGAATGTACTTTAGGGATTGTAATAATATTCAGAGGTATGTGGTTTTGGAATTGTTGATGTGATTCATAATTTGTACTTATGATTTTTGTAAGTATTTATAGAAATTTTGAAAATTGTTGGTGATTGGAATTATGATTGAATTTTGAAGTTATGTTAGTTATTTAACGCGTGTCAGTTTAGTGACTTGGATAGAAGCGCGCTTGGTAGGCGATTATCGAGGATCTATCATGAAGTTCAGTTAGTCATAGGTAATAAAATGTTTATACCTACTTAAAGTGCGATTCAAACTTTATGAGGGCTGTGAAGTTAGCAGCGAGCGAAGCTATGCACAGGTTTCAGTTCAGTGACATCCCGCGCGCACCTATAGTGCCGCAAAGATTTCTATGAATGTGACGAAAATTGGAACTAATGCCGCCGTCTTTATAAACGTCCTATTTTGTATGTCATTTACGTAGTCAATGGAGCCCTTCCTGAACTGTCACTCACATTCATAAAGACCTTGTCGCACTGTATATACATTTCGTTTACTGAGCCTGCGCTAACTTCCACCCCCGTACCATGATTATCACAATATACAGTTATTTCACGGTTTTTTTAACGCGTCTAAATGTCAAATTCAATAGTAATTTGACAATTTAGCGTGATAAAATCGAGCTATGTATCTTATAGCGGGATGCTAAGGGTCAGAGCCGCCATTAAGTTTGATTAACTCGCACTTAACATATCTGTCTGACTCGCCGGATAGTAACCGCCCACTAACGCTTTACAGCTGTACTCTGGAACGTCAAATTAATTTTATGCGTTATTAAGCCACATGTTGTCTCATTCTATCGACATCGCAAAGAAAGTGACTGCAGAAATTTTAGTCAAATTTGAAAGTTAACTGAATACTCTGCGGGCGGCCGTTAGAGACGCTGCGATACCAGTGTATTCCTCGCGCGTTGTTTACTCTTAATATTCCCTAACCTGTCGCGAACCTTTGCCCCGTGAAGTCTTGGAAATCATAACGTGATTTGAAAAATATCTTTATTTAAAAATAGAAATCGATTGTTTCTTCTGGTAAACAGACGTGACCTTAAGGTTGTATATGTATTCTACGAATATAGTACCGTGAGCACACGATGCATTTGAGGTGCGGCGCCGCACCGCAAAGATTTCGCCGTATCGGTGGGCATACGAGCAATACGGCGGCGCCGCATTACTGGTGTCAATTCTGGTACGATTCTCTAAACTTTAAACTAATTTAACTCTCCTTTTCATTCTGTACTGAGAATAACAAGGATACACTGTTGTCAAAAAGTTTGAGAATCATGCCAGAATCGTTACACCATTATTACGTCGCAGCGGCGGTTTTGGCGCCGCAGCAGCACTGACGATTTATGACGACACAACGGAGGCCCGAGCACGAACTTTAATAGCTCCGTTTTCGTATCGTATCGTCAAAGTTTCTATGAATACAAAAGCAGCGCCCCTACCGAACGTAAGAACAAACTGGCTCCTTCCATACAAAATTGGACGATGACGATACGAATATGGACCTATCAAAGTTCTGTAGGGCTTTGTAAATATTTTATGATTGTGAAATAAATTTGATATCACTCACCAATCCACCTTGAGCCTTTGTGAGCCCGTTCTCCTTGTTTGATTCTGTACATACTGGCGATATAAGAAGGACGATTAATGTACATATAAAACTTCAACCAAATCACTCGTTAATTTAATAACTATTAGTACCTACTTGGAATAGAAAACTATAGGTCACGGCAAATTTCTTGAACAAAACCACAGACAAATAAACCTGTGCAGTAGATGTTTTTGTACGTAAAATTGCTAACACAGGCTTTCTTGTCTATGGCCATTGCTCAAGCAGTTTGCCGGGAGGTATACGTCCATCCCTATCAATAATCTATTTCAAATCAATATCAATCGTATTTTGAACCTTGAGGATTAGTGTGTAAGACTTATGTTACCACGATAATGTGCTATTGAGGTACCTAAGGATTTTTCATTAATCGTAATATGCTTGTATTTATATCTAGTTAGCATTTAAGTGTAGTGTGAAATGTTTAAGTGGTAGTTAATTGGGCTCCTTTTTTATAAGTAGGTAGGTATTTATTAAATCTATTAATCAGTGAAAGAATGTGTAGATATTTTAAAAATTGATATTTTAATTGCATATGTTCTCGCCGATTGATATGATTAGTCTGATTATAAAGCTTCTAGCTAGACATATTGTGAACAGCCGCCATTTCATAATTGATACTTGATTTGGTTTGACTTGCGATATAGGTAATTTAGTTTGGTTACAGTTCCAAGCTTACTTAAATACCTGATATTTTTACCACTTTGGAGTCTTTTAAAAATACGTCTTGTTATCTATAATTATTATGTTATATCCATAAATTCATGAATTTCACGATCTGACGAATTATACTATTGGCGCGGGCACAAGACAGTTCTTGTGGTAAACAAATCATGTCATCATAGACATATTACAAAAAATTAAGGCGTTTGAGTGCGAGTCACCCATTGCAGTGTACTTCGTCACGTAGCACGTGAGTGCTTAAAGTTGTGTGCAAGTATCTCAGTTCGTATAAAAATCCCGCGACCACACAGTGACCAAGCTTCGGCAAGAGGTGGGGCTTCACGCGCGCAAATTCTGCCAATCGTAGATGTAGCACGCTGCAGTGGGTGAATCGTCTAAACCGTTGGCTTTCAAATGTATATTTTGCCGAAAGTTTGTCGCAGAAATATTATATAATTATAAGTTCTGTACCCTTAACACGAACCAATATCAAATTCGAATAGTTTTAGAGTGCGAAATGTCATTGTCAAATGTGTACCGATTTTTAGTTCTCGTTACGTACTTTGTGGCACGATACGAATTCGATAATGGTTCGTGCTAGGGGTACTGTATCCTGAGTGAATACAATAGTTACGTACAATATTAATTTGAATTTAATTATTATATGTACTTAGATCATAACTCCGTTTTAAAATTATTGTAATATGAAATGTGAATTATGACATTTGAATCTGTGTTAGTGTTGAATTTTGGCGAATTAAATTATTTCATTTTCTTGGGTTGTGCCGTTGTTTTCATTTTCCCCGCTATTTATTTGTTCGGTTGGCTATGAAAAGACGATGATGAGTGCTTTGATCTGAATACATTGGACCAGGGCCGGATTACGAGGTGTGGGGCCTCGGAGCAATGAAGGAGATGAGGCTCCATAATCATGCACCCGGAGCATTCGATTTGTACCCTCACCCGGTGGGTGCCCCTTTTCAAATCTGGTCATTTCTATTTTTGTTGTCCCGCCCAGGGGGCCAATCGCCTATACGGAAATGCTTTGGGAAACGCTAACGCTTACGATTTTATATTGTTATTTCTAGCCGCCTGAGGTTTTCGAATACCTTACGCTCATTTTTTTTAATATTGTTATTACCAATGCAAAAGAAAAAGAAAGAGCGCGAGGCATTTGAATACCTCAGGCGGCTAGAAATAACAAAATAAAATCGTAAGCGTTAGCTTTTTCCAAAGCATTTCCGTTAGGCGATTGGCCCCCTGGACCGGGACACAGCCCGCCTGCCGTGCCTTAAATAAGACCCTGCATTAAACATCAACACACCCACTACACGAACTAAAAGAAAAAATGAATAGATTCTGCTATGCTTACTTGAAAATCATTTCTCAATAGTTTCGCTTTTTAAGACAGTTCCTGTTACTAAAACATAAACTATTAATAATATTTATTATTTATGGCTCAGCTTTCCATTAGCTGTGGTGAGTAGTGAGCTGAAATTTTTGTCACGCAAAGTATTAATGATTATAAACACGTACACGAAATATTTTTTGGCGGAAGAGTCGAGGGAGGACGAGTCAAGGAAGACCCTAATTCTTATTGGAATAAATAAGAATTAGGTGTAAGAAAAGCTCACAAAATTTTAAGATGGCGCCAAAACTGAAAACTTTCAAAAGTTCTAAAATGTTCATTAGTCTATTTTTTATGTTCTTTCTTTTTCGGGAAGGCAAAGGGAACAATGCCTATACAGCCTAGTCTTCAGTTTTTTTTTACATTTGAATTTGTGACTCATTCTAAAGTTTTTTGTTTGGCACGAAATGTATCGAGACTGTTTTCTCGATAAGCTTCTTTGAGGTATTCAACACTACAATAAAGTTCTCAAGACCACTTGACTGGAATAGCGTAAATTTTTGTGCAGACGGTTAAAATACAAAATCACACCAATTTTATTTTACAATATCCACTGAACGAATTCAAGAATAAATAAAATAAGACGTCCCTGCACTCGATGAAATCTCGCCAAAAACTCGTTCATTTGACTTTTCACCAAGACAGACAAAGCTTTAGCTATACAGCCTGTCATACGTTTTCTTGCAATAACAAGGTGTTTATACATATATATGAACAAGAAATTCACACGCATATTGTTTACAATATGCCTTGTTGCAGATTTATTTGTGGTCCTGGGTTAACGAATGAGATGCAAAATAAACGCAGAGTAAACTGTTGCACCCGGACTAGCCGGAGTGTAACGAAACGTGACCTCGGTAGGTCACGAGATTTTGACATTAGTCAAGTGATAAAAATGTAAACAAAGATATAATTTAAATCTATTTCATAATTTACATAAATAAATGGTTCTTTAATCACAATAAAAATACTTTCGGCATCATATATTTAATAAGGGTTTGAAAAATGACTTGAGTGTGAAAGAAATATTTACTTCTTGCTTGTTTAGTTTAGAGGAAAATTATTTTTGCAAAATGTTTGGAATTGAAAGTTTACCATTGGAAACGTTGGTAGAAATACTAAAGAAAACCGATGGAATCACTGTCGGGAGATGTCGTAGGGTGTGCAAAGCTTGGAAGGAATGCATTGACGGCACCGATTTGTTGTGGTTTGAAATTTGCCAAAAGGAGTTCAAGTACTCCTCAAAAATAGCTAAGAAAAAGTCTGGTAGCGAACGCAGCTGGTACCACATTTATAGGAACTTAAAATTGTGGGAGAACATTACGAATTACGAACGTAACATACGTGAGTTTTACAAGTTTTCTTTGCATGACAAAAATCATGCCTTAGAAATAGATCACAACATTCTGCCTTTGAAAGATCAAAGGGGAATCGTCTTATATGATATGCAGACTCTAAAATATATTCCTGTGGCAATGCCAGAAAAGAATTGTCTAAAAATTGCAAATAAAGATAATGTTACTGTAATTTTACTCAAACCAGGCATACTTATTCAAAGAACTGTTGATAATCCAACTCATATGTCTGAAGCTTTCTTCAAAGCTGACGACTTTGTATTGACCAGTGATCTACTTTACTTTTATAACAATAGACAAGTATTTAAATGTGAATTGTTAACACAAAATTTATCACCTAATCTAATAATTGATTGCGAGTATGATATTAAAACTATACAAGTCGACCATAAAACATTACATATATATACAGATTGTGGAAAAATTGTCAATGTAAAACGAGACGGGATCACTGAAGTGAAACCTATCAATTGTCCTGTTGAATGGATCAGGCAAATAAAGCACATATGTCCAATAAACGACAGAAACTTTGTGTGCTATTCAAGAAATTTGTTCAAAATTGAAACAGATCAATATCAACATTTGTATTTGGATTTCCCTCCGATAACTGCATTGTTTTTCTACGCTGACACAGTATTGATTGGAACAAGAGCAGGGGAGATTTTGCTGTACCGTTTGTCGAGTCAGAAAAGAGCGACGAAACCTATATTTGAAAAGATGGCTACTTTACCAGAAGGGAAGTTTGCTGTCCAACTGGATATATGTGAGAGAAAATCAGGTCCAGTGATTGTTGCTTCAACATTTTTTGAGATATACCTGGTGGAGATTGACTTTTTTCCTCAGGTTAGTAGACTTGCTGCTAACTAGATTGCTAAGACAAGTTTTTGAAAAACCAAAAGAATTTTTCTGCTTCATTCTGTTTTTCTTTTGCTGACAATCCAACATGGATAGCATTTTTGGAAATTATTTACATAAAATGTGTTTTTATTTAGAGTTCTGTACTAACTGAGTCAACAACTAATCTTTGAAATTCACATCTGTCTGTCTGCAGCCTTAGCTCATCGACTTTAAGTAGGTTCTAACGATTATTTGGCCTAATTATATAAATGACACACTCTGATAGAGGGTAATAAAAATGCGTTACAAACTGTACACACACTACAAAAACAAAAAAAAACATCAAGAATATTAGGGTTTGTGATACCGCGGGTGCGCGGACAGTCGGCAACGGTTGCCGCGACCACACCCGCACTCCCGGCGTGCATTGGGGGGACTGCGATCCTCAGAATGTACGCCGGGTGACCAGTGCAGGAGTATTGTCTGGTTTTAGTGGCCCTGTTCAGGGCGTTAGGTAGGGCCCTGATCATTTCACCCGGCCTAAGGGCTGGCTGAAATGAACAGGGAGGAGTCCCACATACCTTTCGCTCGCTCCCCCGGTGGTTGAAGGAAGCGTAAAGCATTTCCCAGACAAAAAAAAAAGGGTTTGTGGTACCAATATTCTGGAAAATGTTTACGTTCTAATAATGCATTTGGGCGTCGCTCTTGGTAATACAAGACTACACGAAGCCTGCGCTTTCAATCACTAACACACAGCATATGCTGTTCAGCGTGCCCAGAAATGCCACTTACAAGTTTGGGATTTGCGCTTTCTGATAAGCAACGGCAAAACTTAAGGTGCGTATGGATTATGTGAGCAGCCCCACCACGCACGGCTCGTGTCGGACTGCCTCGGTAAATACATAGTAGAAACAACACGAGGCGGCAGGCTAAAGCAACGTGCTTCGGATCGAGCTACGAAGTCTCGACATCAAAATGTCTAAAACCGTGCTCAAATCACGTTTACATTTGCGTGACACGTACGCCGAGTTGCCTTTAAGCATAATTAAGAAACCGACACTTGATGGCTTGCGCTGCGGCAGCCTAGGCCATAAGGGCCTTACAAGCTTCGTCTAATGCGACCATCCCCTGAGTAGGGGACGATGCAGCGCTGCCTAGTTAAAAACTAGTGCATGATGTGGTATTGGTCGGGCATTGCATACATAGTGTTTTCTCTTGTGCGATATAGGCTTCCATACTTTTGAGTGCAGCGCCGGTAGTGCCATCTGTTGTTCTGGAGTGTCAAGTCTTGCTTCGTTCATTATATGTGAGGCGTGTAAATGTCGCCGCCAACTCCCCACAGCTGGGTGGCTTTCTCTGTGTATGGTCATACGTCGCTTCTCTACCTGTCTCTTCTACCTGTTGATAGAATACGCAATGACTCTTCTGCGACTAAACTCATCATCATAGGGCTATTAGCGTGAGGCCATCCTCGGGCTGAGGCTCGTACGCACTCGAGGCAACAGGGCGAGCCGTCCGGCCTCAGGCGAGGCTGTCTCTAATCCGTATGCACCATTACGTAGCGATCTCATATGACTGATTTTTTTCTCTATTAATGGAACCTAACACTGGTAATAGACTTTTTTCTGTATTTTAATAATAATAAATTTTGTTTACATGTTGTTTACAGGAAAAAGAAGTGAAACCATCGTTTCCTATGCCCAAGCTTATGATGTACAAGAGGCTCTTGAGGCTCCGCGACAGGTTAAAAATGAACTGAAAATTCTCAGTATTAGGCCACACATGGGACGGATGGGGTTGTCAATCTACAAAAATGCAAAAGCCTATTTAAACGCGGATATTATCATTAATTTGTTCAACGCCTTGCAGGCGTAGCATGTGGTTATTTCAAAGTATTAACTATAGCAATAGCAACAACTAAGTATTCTCGCAATCAAAACAACACATAAACACTCAAGACGCACGACGGAAAAAGGCCAATTGAAAGAAAACGCACGATGGAAAAAGACCAAAAATGTGTTCTCTTAAAACGGGCAGATGGCAAACATAATCACGGACCAAGATGGAATTTTTCCGCCAACTCAGTTTCAGCCTGCCGGCCTATTCCCTAACTTTTTTGACATTTACAGTGAAAACTGCCAATTGAAAACGAAAAAATTGCAAATCCATCGATGCTTTTCAGATCAAGTCATCTTAGTGGCGTTATAATAAAGCAGTAGTGGATCACTAAAAAGCTCGGTGATTATAATTTCCACCGTGTCAAAAGCAGTTAGCGAATAGGCCTGCTGATATTTATTAACTACCGAATAAAGTAGATTAGTCTCTACTGAAGAAATACTTAGTTAACCTTTTTAGTAATTTCCTGGGATGGCAATTAATTTATTGTTGAAAAATCTCACGATACTACGAGTAGAGCGCTAGTAGGTAAATTTGTTTTTGCACGAGTTACATTTCTCAGGATTATGAACATCACGGTAAAATACTTATTATAATCTGCCGCCTTCCCCTTCCGATCTCCATTTTAGACAGGAATTTCAGGAAATTATAAAGGTAGAAATCTGAGAGAAGGAATTTATTTGCTAATTTATAAATGTAATGCGCGGCGCGAGTAATTTTCACGATCACGTACTGCCAAATGGGTACCTACTGTCGAACATTTCATAATTTTAATCTTGTTTGAGGTCCTTTCAAGTTTGAGTGCTCTTTCAGCTGTCTGGCTTCACTGAATTTGTCGAAACCACAATGTAAGTAGATGTTGAAATCTGTCAGTTAAATATGTACCTTTAATCAACATAATATTTATATTAGGATCATAGAAATAAGACTTGATTTATTATTATTTTTGAGTGTGTCTACTGTTGACCTTTACAGCGTCACTGGGTTTGGGGACGGCGAGATCTTAATGGGACCTCAAGCCGAGAATTGCCGAGTGCCTCTAGAGGTATTCCAGCCGGATGGCATCTTTCCACAGGGTAGTGGCCTCTCCGTCTGGAGCCTCTAGACCACTCGAACCTGAGGGACCGTCATTTAGAAGTCTTTATACCTTATAAAAATATTTTTGAAGTGAAACTTCTTTATCGGCGTTGGAAAAAAATTTACCGTCACATTTTTATTCGGTTACGCGTCACGTTTTTTGGTTACACGCCATCTTTTTTTTAAAAGAGCACTATTTACCTCATCCGAACAATTGCTTCTTCTGTCAACTTAAAAAAAAAAAGTATCGACAGCAAATATTCGTGTTTCACACAAGGTAAGGTAAGGTAAGGTAAGGTAAGGTAAGGTAAGGTAAGGTAAGGTAAGGTAAGGTAAGGTAAGGTAAGGTAAGGTAAGGTAAGGTAAGGTAAGGTAAGGTAAGGTAAGATAAGGTAAGGTAAGGTAAGGTAAGGTAAGGTATTTTTATTTTTATTTTGGTATCCGTTTGCTTTGTTATGAGCAAAACACTCGCTTTTGGACTACGAGCTGTTTTTCTCACTGTTTTATGTTAATAAAGTATATTTGTGTTTTTGTAAATTTTAATTGATGTTATTGTTAAATTCTTTTAAGTTCAATATGATTTTTTGGATGAATTCTATATATGATTTGATTGTTGTTTCTTTTTTAATAATGTTATTTAATTCATAGGGGTTTAGGTTTTTATTGTTTGTATAAGTTGTATATTGAAAAGTTTGTATATATTCATTTCTGTATGTGCTATATTTTGGACAGTTTTGTATTAGATGTTCTAGTGTTTGTTGGGTTGTATCGTCACAGGGACATTTGTCTGTTTCTTTTATTTTAAATCGATGTAGATACTGTAAATGGTACCCATGTCCTGTATATATTTGAGTAGTAATGAAGTTAGCAGGTATTTTTTCTATTATCATGTTTAATGTTCTTAAATCTGGGAATAGGTGTTTGGTGTGTTGTCCAGTGGTGCTTTGTAAATATCTTTTATTTGTTTCTAATTCTATTTCTTCTTTGGCCTGTTTTTTATGGAATGAAATTGGAAATTTATTGTATTCTGGTGTTTTCTCTATTGTTGCAGCTGCTTTTGCTGCTTCATCCGCCAACTCATTACCGTATATTCCGCAATGCGCCTTCACCCACGAGAAGTGGATTGTTCCAATTAAGGTAAGGTAAGGTAAGGTGTAGTTATACCCCTTTAGTGGGTGAGTTTTTGAAAAATCTTAGCGCACGCCTATATATATATTTCTGGAAAGTTGCATGTAGATCATTTTTCGAAAAAAATAAGGCCATAAAGAAGTTTCACTTCTTACGTGTGTACACTAGTACACGCACACATTTTTTATTATTATGATAAAAGTGTGGCTTATGTCCCGCCTTGGCTGTGGTTTGCCCCCACAATAGTCTATAGAAGCTGGCGATACAAAAAGATATCACTCGCGTCTGTTGCCTAACCCGTCCTAATCCTCTACCTCGTGGAGCCCTGTAACTTTACTCGCCGACTGAAACGCCACCAATAGTAGTGTTATTTTACTGTGTCTTGTCTTGTCTTATGTAAGGTGGAGGTTACTTCCCCAGACGGGTGCTCCAATTCGAGCAAAAAATCCGGTATGCTACCTCTCTTAAATGTCCTCGAATGTTTCTGAAGAATATTATGTACGATATTGTTTGGAGGCTTTAGTTAGGTGTCCAAAAAAAGTCCTTTTAGTGAAAGCGATACTAATATATTATTAGACCTGTCCAGTTTTCACGGCAATATTTTAAGATTTCGTTTTAACACGTGTTGAGATTTCAATACAAAATCACCAAACCAATTTATTTTATTTACATTTGAGTCTCTTGAAATTTGTGCTAAGAATCTGCGCCTACTTTCGGTGTCGTTATTAGCACAGTATACCCAGTATATCTGGGTATACTGTCCTATTAGTTAGTCATCTTAATAATTTATGTGTTATATTTATATCATTGTTACGTTATGACGTTCTTAATAAATAGGTCCTTATTTAAATCACATTGTTATATATTGTAAAATCTATTGTTAAGGTAAAAAATAAAGTATTAAAAATTACTACATGCTTGTTACATTTTTAATCCGTTCTCATAATAATACGAATTTGTATTATTATTAATTTCCCCACTTTCACTTTACTTTCCCCAAGGTCACAAGCCTTTCCTATGGATGCGGCGGACCACGCGGCACGCGGGCCCAGTGCGGATTGGTTGGAGCTAATGACTGCAGATGCAGCCGGGACCAACAGCTGGACGTGCCCTCCGAGCAAGGACGAGCTCGAGATAGTAAGTTTTTGGTCACCCATCCAATGAGCGACCATTGCAAATGTTGCTTAACATTCATGATCGCAGGCCGAATGCGCTAACCACCTGCGCCATCGAGCTCCTCATTTCTATATTAACGCCCACTTGCAGCTTTGCTAAATTTTGATACAACTAAAACAAGCTCTAACCAATAGAAAAATTACAAAACGTCAATGTCAATATGACATTAGTGTAGGTATGGGATAAATCTTGTTTTAGTAAAATTGAGATTTAGCAAAATTGCTGTAAGTGCATCTAAATGATTTAAATAATGATGAAACCTCGTCATTACTGTAATTGATCCACTATAGGCAGTGGCGTCGCTAGACCACATGTGGACGTCGGCGACATCAAGTTCGCGAGGCCTATTTTACGTTTACATCTCAACTAAATCTTTAGCGCGATACGAAAGTTCGTAAAAAGTTGCGGTTCGTTTATGTTTCATTGCGTTTCAGTTATTTGACATTTAGCGCGATTGACCAGGTTTTGATGATTGATTTTGGTTTGGTTGTTTGTAGTTAGTTAGTTGTTGTAGTTAGATGGTAGAACTAGCTTAAAAACTAAACGAATGCAGATGCAACTCATCCCTGATTGGAATCAAATCGGCACCTTTTGCTGTCCGCGCCAATGCAATGGCGGACGACGTCGATTACATATAGAGCATGTACTTACCTACCGACTGGGCGCGCTTGGTTAGGTAATATGGCTTCATAAAGTTTACAATTACCCACGTAAACAGGCTTTTCTTTATAATCAACATCTACAATAAATTGCAGAACTTTATTAGTAGGTGATGCTTTTTATCTTTTCTTAGGGCGCGATTACACATAGTCGTTAGGCCGAATACGTGTGCCAATGGAATTCGGGTAAACGAAAGTGTAAATAAACGGAGTCGAGTACGCCAGAATTCGGGTAGATTTCCTTTTGTTTACCCAACACCGTCTTCCAGCTAGGGTTACCAGATTGAGAAATCAAAATTTCTGGACATTATTATAGAATATCTGGACATTAGGATTTTTGGCTGGACATAAAAAATCAGCATGACTATAAAAAATTCTTATTATTACAAAACAGAGGAACCTTAATCAAACAAAATTAATATGAAATCACTTTTTCTGCCACGTATATTTAGCATTTCCTTTAGCCGCATTTATCATTTTAGAACCTTTATCTTTATTTAGAAAAGATTTAAATTTAGTACAAGTTTCGTCAAAGTTCAATCGAATTATTGAATTCAATCCCGGGCATAGATAACAAGAGCCAGTGTTCCCAACTCGGTGGAAAAATCACTAATACTGGTGGTTTTTAATTTTCAGCTTCATTTTAGCTGGACATTTTGCCTAAAACCGGGACACTGGACAACGTGTGAAATAGCTGGACAATCCAGCCAAGTCCAGCCAATCTGGCTACCGTACTTCCAGCCCGTATTCCAATGTAAATATTGTTTCAGGTGTCCGATTTCGAGTAATGTGATTCGTGCACCCGAATACCTACGGGCTAGTGACTAAATTGTAATTGCGGCATTAATATAACCTTAGTGATTCTCTTATAAAACTACTCTTATTCCACAAATGGCAATCGTCTCTTGTTCAAGAATAGGTACTAGAGATGGGCCAACTATAGTATTTGCCGACTTACCGACTAGCCGACTAATCGGTTTTCGAATTGCCGACTAGTCGACCGACTGGTCTGCAATGCCGATCGTTCTAATACTTATCTTAAGAAGGTGTTCGGAATATTTCTTCACTACTTGGCTTGCTCACGCACGACACAAATCTCCCAAATCAACCCGTAATATTCACGTTCCAACATCACAATTTGCCTCTGAGGAAAAAAATCTTTATGACTCGATAGCACTTAAGATTTTACTCAATTAATACATACTTACTTCACATTGCTATATTGTTATGTG